AAAATAAGATGATTATAATTTGATTGTAATAAAATGTGTACGAATAACACGCACAAAAAAAATTGAAAATTTATTAGAAATAATGAAAAATAATTATTTTATATTAAAAATATGAAATCGATGTTAGAAAATAATTTTAACTGAATATACCATGGAATTTATTTAAACAATATAGAAAATTAATGTAATTTTCAAGAAATAACCGTTTATTGAAAAGTTCACGCCATTTTATCTATTTAAATGGAACAATAAAAGATTCGTGCTCACTATCAACTAGTGCAGGCAATAAAATCAACATTTTTTTTTTCCACAGTAACAATATGGTATTATTGCACGTTGCTAGCACGCTGGAGAAATTGCAAAACCGATATGCAAAAATTCTCAAGTATCGATACATGCACGTAAACACAAAGCGAGAGAAACTGAGAAAAAAAGGGGAAAGAGAAAAAAAAGAAAGAAAAGAGGAAAGAAAAACACTCTACAAACCTGAAGCACTGACAGCAGTACTAAAATATACGAAAAGAAACTCTTGCTCTTATTAGGATACGAACTGAAAACGCACACATTGAGTATAATATAAGGGTGAACAAGAAGAAACTGTTAAGATAGGTGTAGAAAGTTCTCACACTTTATTGCGGGCGTAATTTTATTCTCGACAAAATTCTATTCCCCCTCACGAATCCGTGGAATTTCGACACGCGACGAGATAAAATACAAGCATAGTGTACAATATTAGAGGCGGTCAGAGCGACTTGGTAAAAAAAAAGCACGGTTCGTCGGAAAGTACGCCATTATCGTGAGAGATTTCCGTTTGGGCTTCCAAGAGCACTCTCGTAGCGGCCACCGCGACGCTCGATATTCAAGCACCAAAGCGTCACTTCACTTCGCACAATTCACTAATTTCTTTCTATATTCCGTGGGAAACACTCGTCCAGGGTCTATATTACTCGACGGACGTAGTTATATGTTAATGTTTTAGCGAAAAAACCACCCTCATTTGCGCGCGCGTATACAAGATTTTCGTTGACGGTGGCTGCGGCTGCGGCTGCGGCGCGAACCGTCGAGGTGCAAGCGTGTCCATAGCTCCGAATCATTCTACACATCTCTTTGCTGCCCCCTCCACCGCTCTCTTGCCCCCCTCCCTCCTACCCAACCCGAACCCCTTTTCCCTCGCCTTTCTTCCTTTAGTACAGTTCACAACGAAGGACTACTCTTCTCTCTTACTCTACCCTAGCCTGTCCTGTCCTGCTGTACAACAGAGGCCGTCACCAACACCAGTTAGAAATCGTAACATCTGTAGAAACTTATACAGCTACCTTTCACGTCATGCGCACACACTCACTCACTGCACCACCTGGTGGCGCGCGCATCTCTCTTTACCACTTAAAAACCTCTGTGCATGTATAGACACGCGCATGAAATGAACATGGAAAAAAAAGAGAAAAAAAAAGAAACACATCGCATTTGAATTATTTACATTTTCCAGTTTATTATTGTGTAAGTAACTATTCATTTTGGATCGGTGAAATCAATAATGTAATGTATTGGGGAAACATTAAACCATCCTTTGTATTTTAACATCTTCGGTGTAATGTACCTTATGCCTCAACGTCTTCGATGTTCGTTACTAATTAGGAAAGATTTTTCAATGAAATAACACCAGGAAACGTTCACATTGAAAAGTAAAGTAATTGTAACCTAATAACTGGATATTTATACACAATGTGATCACGATGTTTAGTAATTTGATTGATTCTTCGCTCTGATGAATGAGATGTCATAATTTTTCTTTTTTTTTTAATATATAATTTTGTAATGCCTTGCATTATTTTTTTTCAAATTTTTTATTCTTTCATGAAGCTTCTGGTATAAACAGAAATAACAGAATACATAAAAAATAAAATTGTCAGAAATCCACTATATAAAAAATAAATCGATTATGTATATTATCGTCCAGCAAATATTTCAAATTATGATAAAATTCAATGACAAAAACCTTTCATCGCGATTACACGACTAAAATGTATAAGAAACATAGAATTCAGAAGACAATTCAGATATGTATTGAAATGAATTCGAATTACTTAACAATTGCATTTGAGCAATTTATATAACCAATGTTTACTTATTGACTTTTTCAAAAACTAAAATAACAGACAAAATATTTAATATTCAAAGTGCGTCAGTATATTTTCTGGTAGTAAAAAATGGTAGTAGCAAAAATTTGTTTAATTTTGTAAAAAAAATTTAATCAAAATTATTGTGTAATAGATGCATGTAGATTTTGATAATTTTAAGCATTAACAATATGCATTGTTACGACGATTATGATTTAAAATTAAACAAAATTAATTTACAAAACATAACAAATAAAAGAAAATAAATATAAGCAGAATATAGCTATTTAAAATCAAGAGTAAAATTATATGCGTAAATGACACTATAAGACAAATTTTGTGAAATACGAAAATACACGATTCACTATAGAAAAAAAAAGATCAATGAAAATTATGGATCATATTTTTCCGTGCATATCGACTAAGTAGATATTATATTCTTATTTTCATTATTAAAAGTAATTATATTGTATCTTTCAAATATACTGTATAATGAAATTTATAAATATCGTATATCATATATAAATGTATGAATATCGTATGTATATACGTACGTATGTACGTATCACATACGTATAACTTTAATGTGTGAATGTAGTATATTCATTAAATGAAAACAGAAAACAACGGGAAGAAAAGAGATTGGACGCTGCAACCTTCCAAGAATTACACTCCTAGCACATAAAGTATTTGGTATCATGGTAAAAACACACAACGCAATTGGCGGTAGTAAGGCGGAGTCCGAATTATACCACAAAGAGAACCAATCAGATTTTACCTTATAAAGTAGGATACCAGGGCAGGATATTCGATTAACCAATCCTGTCCTTTAAGTATTAGCTTAAATGTGTAAGTAAAACATCTTTAATAAATCACAAGTATATTTAATATTGTATATCAGATTGAATGCATATATATGATGTACGTATATATATTACGATTACGGTAAAGGAGTTAAATCACGTAATTGACCGAGTAATGAATTAGTAATGAATTAAAAAAAAAGAAAAATAAACTGTAGAAAATTTATGACTGGCAATTCTGTGCAAATTTTTTTCGTTTTGAGATTACAAATCTTTGTGAATGTTATAATATTGATTTATATAGTTTCTAAAAATAACACTAATAATAAATTTTTTTTTTAGTAAAAAAGAAAAGTAGGATAAAAAACTTATTAGTTTGGAGAGAGAGAGAGAAAGAGAGAGAGAATTTATTATGATTAGCAGTTATTGAAAATCTATAAATAACAAGCTTCTGCTTACCTTAAAATAAGTACATAGATTACGAATTAACTCTTAAAAATTACTATTTTGGAAAAAACTTTTATCTTATACTTATAAATAGTTCATAACTAGAGCAATAAAATATTGTCATGCAGTATGATTCAATAAATTTAAACAGAAGTGACTTCATGTAATCTAAATAACATTCAATAATTATAAATCTTATTATATATTAAACAGACAAAAAGAATAATACAAGGAAGGAAGTAAAAATTAAATACATATTATGTAAAATATAGTCAACCTAAGAATGACCCTACATATTTCTATGCAATCTACAATTGAATCACAATTTATTATGAGAAAAGAGGTGCAAAATAAAAATGAAGAGAATTCATACTTTTTGCTGAACAGAAATTAAATACAGTACTGATATAGAAAAATTATAACGTAAAATTGCAAGAGATCAATGAAAAACATTGAAATATTAAGGTAGGATACAATGATATATTTTTACTTTGTATGCTAAACATCTATGAATATAACGTAGCATTATACAGTTTTGTTCTAGCTTGAAATGTCAAAATTAACTTTCAATATTGTTAAAATTAGGAAATGTATAAACAACTTATACAAAGGTACAAATTTTTACTATAAAAAAATCAGGATTTCATAATAATTAAATAAAACTCACTGTAGTGTACACGTTAATCCCATTCTCCTGGACATTCCATGTAAATCTACTGCACGAATGTTCGCTTAATCGTTATCTTGGTGTCCATTTTGTTTGGTTAATTACTGAAGAGGCGTCAGTGCTGCCGTCGATTACGTTGACACAACATAATGGTTCTTCCGTGATTGGAGCACAATATATGTCAGAAATTCTAATTCTTTTTAACAATTTTATAAGTAATTGTATAAATTTGAATTCTACAATATCACTATAACAAATTAAAATCAAATTTAAAACGTCTTAATAATAGTATATATTTCTATTTATATTTCACATATTGACCACTCCATCTTTTCAACGATAACCCAATTTCGTAAACGAATAGAGAAGAAACGAAAGGCTTTTTGCTCATAAACACATCGATGGTGTCGACACTTTGTGGCATACCGAATTTGCGAAATATATGAAATCATAATTTATTAAATTTATCTTCTATTTTATAAGATTTTATAAAACTATTATGTATAACTTTATATAATGAAATAATCACGTCATCTTTTGAATATATTTTTAAAATTTCTATTAAAGTATACGTTATAAAATTTATTTGTAAAATTGTTATGTATTATTAAATTTTTCAATAATGCAATAATACATGGATATGCATAAGATATATATTTTAATAACTTGATCATTCTTTTTTTCTATACAAATAAGATTTTACACAAAACTAGAATTATTTTAGATATTTACATACACGCATTTTCATGTATACTAAGTGTATAATTATTTATAAATATTTACGAAATTATACTTTAAAATAGCTTCTAACAATTAGTAACAACTGCTTTTACATTAAATTAATTTTTACATGTGAAATATAGTAGCAAAAATATAATCGTTTAGTTACATAGAAATCAACCATTATATACACAAAATTATATATGAATTTCCAGTCTATAACTTTATCTAAATTCATGTTATACCTGTGGCTTTGATAGTGTTGTGTTTGATTTTTTTAGAAGCCTATTTTATTAACGAAGAAAAATATTGCAATCCTAAAGTGAATTATTGATAACAAATTTAGTATTTAAATTGTTATAAATTTGCAATATATAAGCAATATTATAAATTTGTAATATATAAATTATATAAAAGCAGTAATTTATACAAATAATTTGAAGTTTTTCCAGTTAATTGTGGTACGTATGTATTTTATAAAAATATGTGTATTATTTGATTCTTGCATCTAAAAATTTTTACAGTTTTAATAAAATCTTTGAATCATTTTACATTGTTTATATTTAATCATGATCTTTTATCTATCAGAAGAAAGTATCATTATGCCCATTTATTATAGAATATAAAATAGTATTTATTTATTATAGAATATAAAGTTTATTTTTATTTCTAGAACCATGTCTAGCACATCACAGAAACATAAAAATTTTGTTGCCGAGCCAATGGGTGATAAGCCTGTTACAGATCTTGCTGGAGTTGGAGAGGTTTTAGGACGTCGATTAGAAGCAGCTGGTTTTGATAAGGTATAACACATTTTTTTTCTTTTTTTCATTCAATTTATCATTATGAAATGAATATAGTACTTATCAAAAGTTTAGAGGATGAGTTATAAAGAGTATACAAGAATAAAGGAACTCAATATAAACAATATTAAATTTTAAGCAATTTTATGTAAATAATAGTATTATATGTACTAATATATATTATATGTACTAATAATATGGTAAAAGAATGAAAAACTTATTCATATCTAGATTTAACATAATATGTATTAATATTTGTTAACATATTTATAGGCATATGTAGTACTTGGACAATACTTGGTTTTAAAAAAGGATAGAGAATTGTTCCAAGAATGGATGAAAGATGCGTGTTCTGCTAATGCAAAACAATCTAGTGATTGCTATCAGTGCCTCTCTGATTGGTGTGAAGAATTTTTGTAAAATAATTATAAAATTTAATGTTAATAATATAAAAATGAAACTTTTAATATAGCAAAGTATCTATTGTAATATTTTAATGCAAAATGTAAGAACTATTTCACTTTAGTGAATTCAACATAATTTTTGATAATCTTACTATAGTATAATGAAAACAAGTATCTTAAAAGATATTTTAAGATTTAACATAAATGTAATATGATATAGTTTATAATTTTACCTAATGTTAACATTGTGTATCGATAAGATATCATTTTATGAATTAATATTAATTTTCTGTGACATTCTACTTATTTTTTTGTTACTCATGTACTTTTTAAATTATTTTTTATGTTTGTATATAAAAGAATACATAAATCATTGTGCAAAAAATTTATAGTTTTTGTACAAAATTGTAAGAAGTGTGAAACTTCATTTGAAAATATATTTTTGGATATATCTAATAATTGAAATATTTTAATAAATCACAAATATACAGAATAAACTATAACGTTTTACACTCGAGATAAGTTTATTGAACCTTGGAACTATAGTGTGTGCGTGTGTGCGTGCGTGCGTGCGTGCGTGCGTGCGTGCGTGCGTGCGTGCGCGCGCGCGCGCGCGCGTGTGTGTGTGTGTGTGTGTGTGTGTGTGTGTGTGTGTGTATACAGAGAGAGAGACACACATACATATATATGAATTAAATGTTTATAATATTGTTTTTTATAATTTATATATTATGTGACTAATAAATAATTAAAAAACAATAAAGATGAATGAATCATTGCTTAACAAATTATATATGTTGTTTTCTTGAAAAAATAGGATTACTTCTCTATTAATTTATCATCGTAGATTATTAAGGTTAAGTAACTCAAATAAATTGTGAAGCACACTATATTAAATTTGGTAGCAAGTGTCGATTTATCATGATTAATATTTTATTGAAATATGTAAATCATTTAAAAGTTCACTTAAAAGCTGTGATATTAATTGAAAACAAAAAAATGATACATTTTATATCTCAACAATGTTATAAATCATATAACATATTACAAAGGTTAGTTATTTAATTTTTTCCATTTTTATTAATATATAGTTTATAAATATTTATATATTAATAGGGATATAATATTAGATAGTGTCAAATCGTACCAACAAGAATTGATAAATAAAAAATATAATAACATACGTAAAAATATGGAAATTTATAAATGTATATGGAGGACAGAAATGGCAAGTATTATAGATCTTATAGATTCAGTGTGTAAGTATAATAAACGTGTATGTAAAATATATGTATTATTAATGCATACGTAAAATAAAATTTTTGTTAAAATAATTTATGTTATTACAGACGTTATTGATAGTCATAAGATGCTTTCTTTACTTAACTGGTGTAATAATATAAATGACTGTTTATCAGCAGATAAAGTAAACTTTGGAAGATCATTGTGGATACTTTTACATGTGTGCAGTAAGTTTTTAGTTTATTTATTTTACAATTTAAAATTGCAGTAAACTCCTTCTTAACTGTCCAGTATGAAATCATTATATAAATAAACAGAGTTAAGCCAATAGTATCATTTATAAATGAATAAATTTAATAAATAATGTTTGAAATAAAAGTACTTTTAATAATAAAAATATGTGAAAAATATTATATCTTATAGAACTAATTTTTATTACAACTGATAACTTTGTCAATTGTTTTGTGTATTTAAAATTGCTTTTGAAAAATTACAATCTATTTCTATAGCAAACTTGATTGGTTAAAACAGAGCTGAATAAGAGGGAGTTTATTGTAATGGAAAAGGTAATTTAACATTCTTTTTACTTTGAATTTGAAGATTTCGAGATATCTATAGCCCATTATAATGCACTTTTAAGTTTATACATGAAAAATGGACATAATTTTTCAATTATGGAATTATTAATGGACATGAAATCTAAACAAATTTATCCAAATAATAATACATACGATATATGTATTAAATATTACTGTATGAACGGAAATATTGACAAAGCACTAATACTTTTTAAAGATATGAAAACTGTACATTTTTATGCAACAAAATCTATCTTCAGTTCGTTAATGTTAGGATACTCTAAATCTGGGTAAATATGCATTATAATTATTTTTATGTATAATGTTTATTTTTTAAATGTAATTTGAATAATATATTTTTCAGAGATATAGAAAATGTAACTAAAATTTTAAACCATATGAAAAAACACGAATTACAGTCAACTACTGAAACATATGCTGTTCTTATATCTACTTATGCTGAATTGAATAATATTGTTAAAATCAAAGAAATAATTCAGATGTGTAATTTAAAAAGCATACATTTCTGTAATAATAATATTTTGAATGTAATTTATATATTAGCAAAAAATAATAATATCAAAGATGTTCAAATTGTAAGAATTTGATTTGATTGAAAACTTTCTGGTAAAGTAACATTAATATGTATTATAAAAATTAGAAATTGAACATTTTCTTTTAGATGTATAAATATTTAAAAAAAAAAAATACTATTTCAAATGAGGAAATAGATGTTATATTAAAGTTAATAAGTATCAATCACATACATATAGCTGTGATAGCACTTTCATGTATAGGTTTACATGATAAACATCCGCAATTTGAAAATGTCATAAGATTAATTTTGGAACACATAGTTAATAATAACATGGTAAGAACAATATATCTTTTGTTGCTACTAATGATTTGACATTTATTTATATTTTAGGTAATTAATGACATAACAAAATTACTTACTACTTTTAAAGATGAAATGACATTCAAAAAATGTTTTTCAATATTAATATATTATTCATTAATGAAAAATAATGATCTGTCTCTTCCTTTACTCAAAATATTTAAAAATTATCATTTGATAAAACCACATTACTTTTGGCCACTTTTAATTAATGAAGCAATTAGACATAATTTCCAAGGTATGTATTTTATATATCAAAATTTATCAATAATAATTATTTCATTAATAGTTATGTCAACAAAAATATATTTTTAGGTATTTTAGATATTCTTAAAATTATGATCAATGATTTTAATGTATTACCTTGTATTAATACAATTAGTGAATATGTTTTACCATTTAGTTTTGGAGAAATATCCTATACAAAAAATTTATTAATGAAATATAATGTAAATGAAACAATGTTCAATAATGCTCATGTATTATCGCTGTTGAGGAAAAAAAAGCTAACAGAAGCTGCTACATACAGTAAGTACAAAATTTTTAAAAAATATATAGAATAAATACTACAATATAATTTAGATTTGGTAACACTTATTTTTTTATAGTGCAATATTCCAAAGGTGAATACTTTTATAAAATTATTGCTCCTGATCTCAGGTATGTTTCATTATTAAAAAATGATCCACAAAAGTTTGTGAATATGAGTAAGATCCTAGTAGATTCTACAGATTCAGATTTGACATTAATATTAAATAATAATAAATCATATAAAACAACATTTGTATCTATGGACAAACAGTTATATGATTTTATGTTTGAGTTTCCATCTCAGAAAACATGGTTGATAAAGGTAAGAAATTTTTAAAATATAAATTTTGTATGAATTATGTCATAATTTTTTTTTAAGTTTAATAAAAGAAATTGACTTTTTCTTAATCGTTTGATATTTTTCGACAAATTGAAACTAAAAGTACAAGTTTTAAGTTGAAGAAATCACTAATTCAAAAGTTATATCCATGTACATAAAACCATTTTTAGTATATTATTTCGATGTTACTTTTTATGTTACCGATACAATCTTTCAATATCATATTTTATAATTTATATTTGAATTAGATTTATTTCAACCGTTCTACAGACTATAAGACTATAATCTTATAGTTTCAACTTTTGAGTTATCAAAAATTCTTTTCGTGTACATACAAAAGATCTTGTACAGGCCATTATGCATAAAAACCAATATGATGTTATAACAATCTATAAAGCATAACTTTTGAACTAATTTTCTAAACTTAAAACTTGTATTTTTGGTTTGGGTTAGGTTTGGGTTAGGTTTGGGTTAGGTTTGGGTTAGGTAAAGGCAATAAAAAAAATCAATAATTTTTAGTCTCTGAAAGTAAAGTTTAACTATCATTTTCATAAGATGTTAAAAATATACTTTTTATATATAATTATGTATAAAATATATTTTAATACTTTAATAATTATATAATTATATAATAGAAAATAGTAAAAATTAAAGATTATAATCTAATAATTAAAATTTTATGTTATTTTTCTAGGTAATAAACAGATTAATAAAGTGCAACATTATCTTAGAAACTGAAACAATAGAAAGAATACGTGAATTTTTACATGAAGAAACAACAAATGACGTAGTGTATGTTCTTGAAAGTTTAAAAAAATAAAATACTGTAAAAGTACTTCAAAATTTTAATTAATTCCAAACTGTATAATTTATTCTGTAATTAAAATTATAGGTAATTTAAATGAGAAGAAATTGAATTAATAAAAATTAAAACGAAGATAAATATTTTGTGCAAATTAATTGTTTGTTATATTTTTGGTCTTTTGAATATTTACAGTTTTCTGAATTACAGTTTTTTGAATTATAGGTATAAAAAATAAAAGTAATCCACTGATAGTTATCATACCACCAGCAGTCCAAAATCCAGGATCATAGGATTGAATTACATCATATAGCCATCCTAGAATTATAAAATAGCTAGGGAAATAAAACTTATTTAACCCATTGAGCCTGGAAAAGTTTTTTTAGTAAAATTTATTATTCTTTAAATGTACAAAATTTATAATTAGGAATATTCTAATTGTCATATTTTTAAAGATATTGACTTATGGATCTCATTGAAAATAAACGACAAAAGATCTACTAAATTATTTTCAAACGTTCTACTAAATTTTATTATGTGATTGATAAATTTCAAATAATGTTGTAAGAGTAATAACAATAAATTTAGGCTTGCAGTCTGATTTAGCTTCACTGATGCTAATCTGCAATTAAAGTGTTATATTCTAAAATAAATAATAATGATATCTGCGAAAACAGAATTTAAGACTTATTTTTTTTTGAAAGAATAAAAAAACTTTTTAAAATTCATATTTGGTATTCTGAAAGATTTCAAAGAAATGATTATTTTAAATTTAAATTCAAATCTAAAAAGATCAGTCAAAATATTCTCGACTTATGTACCAAACCATTATGGTCCTGAGACACAAAGGATTAATTCGTAAACCATTACAATTCCAAAATTGTTATAAACATCGTAAACGCACCTGCAATTGGTGGCCCTAAAAATGATGCAAAACCTTGAAATAGTAAAAGCTGGCCAAAGGCATTGGTGAGACGATTTAAACCCAACAAATCTACTAAGATTACAGATGTAAGACCAACATAAGCTCCAGATGTGAATCCAAATATGGAGGAATAAAATGTGAATGATGCAAAAGAGGTGCAGAATGTACTAAGAATTGTAGCTGGAAGAGCAGAAAAAAAGATTAAGCATTGTACGATTTTCAATTAAATATTATAAATCTTTTAATGTTGTTTGATTAAAAAGTGGTAAAAATAATACTTACAAATACCACATATAGTAAGACATAAATTATATATCAAGAGTCGATTAACTCCTGGTTTATCCGATACATATCCTAAGATTATACGTCCAACTGTATTAGCAATTCCAATTACTGCAAGAAGATAACTTGCATCTTTTTTATTAATTCCTCGTTCTTCAGCTTGAGGCTACAATTAATATTTTTATTATGTATACATTTTATTATTACAAATTTTTTTTATATATACATATTAAATTAATATTACATATATAGTATAATTTTATTATTATAATAATCATTCGTAATCATAATATATATATATATATATATATATATATATATATATATATATATATAGTTCTTACGAATATATATTATATAAAAAGATATTTATAAACAAATTTTATTATTAAAAAATTAAGAATATACTCAATAAAAGCTTCTATACATACCAGTACATAAACGTATGGTACATAAAATCCAATACTGGTACAAAAATTAGAAAAAGTAAATAATATAAATACTGGATCTTTTAACAGAGAAATATTAATATCTTCTTGAAAGGTATCTGCCTCTGTATCAATAGAAGTTTTAAATTCTCTATTATCCGTTTTTATATATTCTATTTTATTAGGTAAATTTGTAGAAGACTCATTAATATGAAATATTTCTTCACTGTATTCTTGTATTATATTAGAGCTATAAATAAAAACTAAGTATAAATTACATTACAAGTATAATCACATTACAAAGTTATAAAATTTTATATTTTACATAGTGAAAATGATGTCCGTATTAATGTCTCTGTATTTTTATAATAATAATTTTATATATTTTAATGTCTTTTAAGAATGCAGAAAAAAAAAGGAAAGAAGAAAATTAATTTCGAACAAATACTGACTGCTCTTTATGACTGTTCTCTGAACTATCTTGTACCACGTTTTTCGAGATTAAAACAGGTTGACTCAGAGATCTTATACCAGCATTATTATTATCCTTTTGAAAAATTACACTATATGTATTTTTACATTGTTCTTGATTAGATAAGGTATTTGAATATTCCTGACGAACATTTTTCACGTCCCGTGAAGATTTCTGAAAATCAAATATTGAATCTAAGACGTGATATTGCTAATTTAAACGCAAAATATTTTTGCATCTTATTCGATGCATTTAATCTTTCATTTAATCTTTCTATGTTACGCTTGCATTCATTTTAACTTTCCACATTTCGATATATATACTTTAATGCTACTTATTACGCAACGTAATCGCGCTGTTATTAAATTTTTTATAATAATACATACAAGAATCCTGTACCTCTGTAGAACTTCTTTTTTTTCGTTTATCCGTCTCGAGAGGCCTGAAAAGCGCTCCAAGAACGGTACAATTCAAAACGATTCCAGAGCAAATTAAAATCGCTCCTCGCCATCCGTATTTGGCTATAAGGTAATCTAAACAAGGAGCAAAGATTAATGTGCCTAAACCAGAACCACATACTGCGATCCCCGTTGCAAGAGACCGATATTTTTCAAAGTAGCATGTCACAGTGATAATCGCTGGTAAATAGATCAAACCAAATCCTAATCCTGTAATAGTAAATAAATTGCTTCCAAATTCATGCATTAAAAAATCTGATACAAAATGGCGAAAATATTTTTCTTATTACCCGTTCCGATGCCGATTGAAAAGTACAATGTTATAATATTTCGAGCCCACATACTCGCCAGTAAACACGCACTTGCCAATATTGAGCCAGCTATAGTTACAGCTCGACATCCAAATTTATTTACAAATGTACTTGATATTGGACCTGTAATTAATCTTTCGTTACCTTTTTCGGAGTTGCGTTCTTTCAAAATTATTGTCGATCGAAAGTTTACCCGAGCACAAAGTAACACCGACTAATATTGACGCGATCCATGCAGTTGCACCCTTTCCCTCCTCGAAATAATACAGAAGTTCTAGGTAAAAAACGCCGAACGAATATGTCACTCCATCAGCTGCAACAAGAAATTATTATTATATTTGATATTAATATTATATTTGATATTAATATATAATTTGACTTTAATGTAAAATAATACGTGGAGAAATTGTCGATTGAAGAATTAAATAGTCTAATAAGTAACTTCTTCTTCGAAAAGAGAAATACACGAATGTTATTCTAGCTTTCGCTAGTGAATTAACATTATCATTAAACAGTAAATAAAAAAATTGATAATAAAATGGATGATCTATAAAATATAAATCATCAACAGGAAGTTGATTCTCCTCTATTTGAGTTATCGCTTCATTATTATTCTTCTTGAGAAACTGTTCTTGTTTTATTTTACTCTCAATTGTAGTCACAATGAATATAATCAGTTATTGTGATATTTAAAAATTAGACTATAAAAGAATAATATTCGATGAATGAAATAACAATAAAATAACACATATGTTTAAATTCTAATGATATTTTTAAATAGAAACACATCCAGTAACACCTCGAAGGTGGTAAAATACAATCTTTAGTCACTGCCATATAAAAGGCATGTTTTTCGTATCATGCTCTGATTTTACGTATCATGAAACTACTGTCATGCGTAATCAACGTTTCGTTGTGTGCGTATATTTTCATGTAACAAATGACGAGCAAAGTGCAATAACTGAACAATATAATGCAATTTCATTACGGACATTTCCGTGTGACAAAAAGTTCATTCGTCACATGGCACATTAATATTGAATTACTTTTTAAGTAGAAGTAATTCCAAAGATTATTTTAATTCTATTTTTGCATGTTTTGTATTTTGTACATATTTGTATTGGTATCGATAACCTTGCTACCATAATTTTTTCGTTACAGATAAAATTCCCGCCTTTAAATTTTAATTTGACATCTAATCTAATACAAGCTTACGACGAGAAGAAATCTAATAGAAATATTTTTATGTGTATTGCAGATAAAAAGCCAAAAAGAAACATAGATAAAGCATATCGTTTTGTAATAATGTTTCTATAATGCCAAGGTCAGCGTTTCTTCTAATCTACATATTTCTTCTACTTTTTGGATGCTTGGAAATTTTTAGTTACTAATTAATTATCAATTAAAATATTCCAGCTATAAGTTAAAATCTGATTATTGTTTTATCCGAAATTGATCATTTCATTATAATAATTATATTAAGTAACTATAGATATTTACAAATTTCTAATATTATATAATATATTTATGAAAGAAAGAATAATAATTGATATATTTCATTATTCGTTAAGACACGTGTATATATTGGTGTATATATTTGTGGAAAAGTTAAAACCAGGAAGACATCGAAGATACACGCGCAACATGCTTACAAGGTCATCTTATTCGCACGATCACGCACATATTTGTGTACAATGTAGAGCACTCTTAATTTATTGTATTTGGTAATATTCTGTTTTGTAATAAGTACATAATAATGAACAGGTGTCATAAATTTATTCTCGGACAACTTGACAACAGCGTTACTCTTCTCTCATTAATCATATTTTGAATATGATAAGAGACTTAAAATATAGGAAATAATCTTAATTTATATAATTTGTTTTATTTTATTTTAATTTATTTATCTTCGTTATTTTCTTTATTTAACGTATTAAATGTATTAATTAATATTAATATTTTAAATTATGAAAAAGTGGTAACATAGAATGAACAAAGTAGAAGTTTTTTCTAATTTCTTTTTGTAGAAGAAAAATAACTGTCTTGTTGGTGTATAAATCGTAAATTAATATAATTAATGAATTTTTCACAAAGATTAAATTCTTTTAAAGTTTAAAAATTTAACAATTTCGTCTACAATATCTTTTTTTACTCCGCCAAATTAATAAAGATATTATTTATCCGATTAATATATGCACCTAAAACGTGATCGTAATGATAAGTTTTTCGAAAAGTTCTTTTTAAATTTCTTTTTTTAACATATAAAATATAGTATCTACTTTATTGTACACATATAATTCATATTAAACTAACAATATTTTAAATATATGTGCATTTAAAGGAAATACAAAATTTGAAATTAAAAACAGAAAGAAGAACTATATATAATTATATAATAGCTATAACGTTTCTTTGATGCAAACCGTAAGTTAAACTTAAAGTGAAACGTTGAGAAAGTGCAATGAAACTAGTAAAAATCAACTTACCAATTACGTGGATTAAAAAAGATGCTAAAACTACAATACAGCCCCATCCTCCGTCCGGTGGAGAAGGTTGCTTGGTCTTAATAGCTGGTGACACTAATTGTGAGTGGTCCATTGAAGTACAGGCAATATTTTCACTTGCATTTTTTTTATCCTGCCCATTTACCTCAACGGAAGAGCTGACAGTCGCGTGTGCCATGAGCCGTAATTATTGAACTTAGTGAACGTTGTTTCTCGCGATATTAAGTATCAAAGTTTTAAACTGGTGCTCATGTAGTAGAAGGGAACGAAGAAGAGAAGGGGAAATCAAAGTAGATCTCGAGCAGCGCGTTATTTTTGACAGTGCAGAAAATTCGATGAATGAAGTGATGAATTATCTTTATCGCAATACATGTAACATGGTATATTTATTTTTCAGAAGTATTCAACAAATAATCGTTCCTCAATACAAATTTTTTACATTATTTTTCTTTTTATTATTATACAAGGAAAGGAATTAAACGAAACGAATTTAATACAAAAAAATATTTATCAATGAATGATCGCAAGTCTACATATTACGAAATTTATGACTTATTCGTTTCCAAATATATTTATCAAATATCAATCTTTATTGCGAAAACATATTAACTTCGTTTTACTAATATTATTATCTTATTAATGATGTAGCAATATTATTTATTCATTGGCCTTTAAACTTCCGTTTTTTATGTAAAATGCTTCTATCTATATTTTATTATAAAATCAACTAATTGTTCTATCAATATTTTCAATATTTTCTTTTGGATAATCACTCATTTGAGGTTGTAATTCATAGCTACAAATTGTAACACCATGACGATGCGCAGGTAACCATTCTCCTTTCAATCCAATATAATAAATTTTTATTCTCTCTCTTCTGTCAATGCCAGTAAAGTGTAAACTTAAATGATGTACTGATGAGAATTTAACTATCCTGCAATAGAAATTATATTATATTTTTATATTATAACACCTTCTATAATGAAATAAAATATACATACTTAGGTGAATATTCGTGTATTCCATTTGCATCTACACATAATTCAAACTCTTGTTCAGGTTCTATACTTAAATCATCAAATGTCATACGTGGTCTATTTTTATACCTACAATAGTAAAATATTGTTTTTAATATTAATAAAGGTTATTTATATTTTCATAGTCTTGTTTCTATTAAATCTCAGAATTGCTTACAATTTTACTTTATTTGGATGAAGATTATTTTCCCCTCCAATAATGATAAGGCCTTTTAATTTTATATTTCCTGTAAAACTGAAGAAAGATGTTAATATTTATATATCCTTACTGAAAATCTTTACTCAAATGAAAAAACACATACGGAATGTTAAAAAGAAGTTCATCGTCTACATCACTTTCAACGAACTGAAAAGAAAGATAAATTATAGTATAAAACTATAACGTTAATACAATTATAATACAATTTGAGAAATATTAATTGTATAAAGTCATTTAAATAATATAAATAGTAAATAATTACGTTTTCTTTATCCAGTCTGTTTTCCCATGATTTGAATACTGTAATTCCACTGTTTTCTTCATATTCATTTAAACATTCTACATTTCTTATGTCAATTTTTTGATATAAATTATATTCTACTCCTAATTCTGCATCATTGTGTGTATCACCACAGCTACATTGATGAGCCATTGTAAAACAACCTAAAACATTCGTACTAACATTGAATATAAATTACATGAGTAAATTATTGAAATAAACGATAATACAATAAAAAAAGGAATTAAAATATAATAACGTTTCGATCTTGAATAGGAGAAATAAATAATTATACCAATAATAATTTCTTAATAATTTTCAACGTAACAAAATCTTCGAAGTACTGAGTCTTATATCACCGAAATTATGCGTTACAACTTTAAATGCAAAATTTCTGTTACTTTCTCTAACATGAATACAAACGATAAATAACAACCGTTAATTATATGTTACAATTTACGTTATTAATAACAAATTGAAAAAAATTATATTTTCAAATAAGAAAATCTTTTCAATTTTTTGGTTTTATACCATAAAATAATTAAATCAAATTGTTATGTATACTTTTGCATTAATAATTTCGTTTTGAAGAAACATTGCGATAATGTTTTTGAAATTCGGAATTTTCTGTTTTAACTTTTTATTTATAAGTTATTTTCTTATTATACTATAAATAAATAAATAAATATATATATATATATATAAATAAATAAATATATAAGCGAAAAATACTACAAAACTCTTTTATGTTCAATAAAATTTTAATCATACTTGAAATAAAATTTACTTTCCGTAACATTTATCGTTGGTTGGTAACACTAAGTTACGTTTCGCCTGGTTATAATGTAGCTATGGTTTCGTTCACAACTTCACTGGGCTAGTAGTACTATTATTTTCTGTACGGTTTGGTACTTCGGTCTGGTGTGCAGTAGATTATATCTGTGGTTAGTTTTTAAAGATATGTGAAACGAATAACGGAGTGTAAATATCGCGACATTAATAAATGTTGCTTGCAAGAGGAATTATTATTATAAAGCGTGACGACTGCTTGTGTTTTTTCTAGTTTTTAAATGCTTTGCCAGCGCTTCGTAGACCGTCGACTGTATTTGTGAATTCCTGATTGATTAATGGTGATTCCATAGCAAATGAATATTTGCATGCTGCAGTTATGTGCTTCCATTGTGAAAACATAATTGTTTTATGGTGATAATATGTCAAAATCAAACATAAGGAAGATAACGGTTGACCCTACGAAATGTAATACAGACTCTCGTCGACCAAGTGTGTTTGAGAGGTTGGGGACCAAACCAGCAGTCACTGCCGGCCAAAATTCGTCGGATTATTGTAGAAACTGGGCACTAAACGGCAGCTGTTCGTACGGAAAGAATTGCAAGCAAGTATAATTTTAAAGTTAATTAACCTACCTCTGCGTAAAAAAAAAAGAACATCAAAATACGCATCTGCTCTGTTGTAGTAATACACAGTGAAATTGCTCAATTCGTTGTTTAAATAATGAAGTAAGAATTGTCACTTTTATTTCATTTAAGATGATCAACATTTTCTTTTCTTGATATTGCGACTAGATATGCAAATACTCACACATTAATAAGTCCGTCCAAGCGTGCCAAAAAGGATAATGCTATTGCAAGTACTACGGGAGTAAGTAACCTATGTTTGTCATATTTTCTAGTGTAGAACATGCACTTAAGAAAAGTTAGTAGCACGCAGTTTATTTTTTTTATTCCAAGATAGATGTTTATATGTATGTTTGTCGATATATAGCTCATTGAGGATCCATTTAAAAGGCTTACTTCCAAGATCGTAAAAAAGCCATCGCACAGTCCCGATTTAAATTTGGAAGAGTGGAATCAAACAGATTTGGAATACGAAGACGAAAAAGTATTGGAAAGACGTAGACAGTTGTTGCAGCGTGAGCTAGAGCTACAAATGAAGAAGGACAAAGAAGTTCATGGGAAAGACAAAGTGAGACAAAAGAAAAAGGCTATGACTTCTTCATCGAGTTCTCATACTTCAAGCACATCTAGCAGTAGTAGTAGTTCTAGCAGCGAAGATTCATCTTCCAGTTCGACATCTGATTCGCGTAAGAAAGTTAAGAAAATTAAATCTAAACGACATCATAGTGGATCTACTGATTATGATGAAGATAAAGAAAGAAGAAGAAAGTAAGTCATCATACATATGTTATTATTAAGTTTTGTACAATATTTGTTTATCTGTTTCAAATCAAATAGTACGTCCAGAAATTTTTTTTATGATTTTAACTATTTATTTAAAATATATTAAAAAATTGCAAATTAATAATTTTTATAGATTGAAGTTAAAAAGGCTTGGAACAAAAAATGAAAAGCCATCAGTGAAGAAGAAGCGTAAGTTTGAAAGCAGTTCCGCGAAAAAAGAAATTAATGTTAGATCAGCAAAAAAATACAGTTCGTCTACAGCGTCAAAGAAACATTCTTCTACACCTCGTACAAGATCACCAGCAATACAAATATCTACAGCTGTAACATCGACAACGACTGCAGTATTAGGTTCTTCAGTATCTGTACCTCATCATGGAACATCAAATAAAATTAGAGAAAGAAACAGAAGTGAATCTCCAAAAACAATAAAGAATAGAGATATGGAGAAAGAAGATAGACATTACAAGAAAGTGAGAGATATAGATGAATTATCTAAAGATAATGCCAAGAATAAACCCTTTGATAAAGTCAAAGAACAGGACAAAGAGAAAAATCGTGTAATAGATGAGAAAATAAAAGCAAATGAGAAATTAAAAACGAAATGTAAAGATAAAGATATACGTTCTAGAACGCCTCCGACATCTGATAGATCGAAACATCAGCACTCAAAGGAAATAATTTCAACGAAAACTCGTCGTAGTCGTACACCTGAAAAATCATCGAGATCTAAACGAGAGCTCACGCCGCCGAAAACTCAGGATAGACAGCTGTCTACGAATAGATCTCGAGACGCAGAGAAGAAAGATCGCGAGTCACATAAAACTGATAAAAGTAAAGATAGAGAGGACATAAGAAAAAATGAACAAAATAATAAAGCCAGACAAGTGTCGAACCAAGAAGAGAGTCATAGAAGGATTGGTAAAGAGTTCGATGATAAAACTTATTTAGGTGATAAGACTCGACAAAAGAGCAGAGAACGACGTGACAAAGAGCATACAAGAGATGAACGTGGGCATTCGAGGCTTGCTCGAGATCAACGAGATGCTCGTGATAAAGACAAGGAAGATCTACAGGAACGTTGTCGTGAACGACCACGGGAAAGAGATCGCGATCGAGATAGAGATCGAGAACGTGATCGTGAGCGAGAAAGGGATAGGGATCGAGATCGCGATCGTGATAGAGATCGGGATCGTGATAGGGATCGCGATCGCGACCGAGATCGAGATCGTGACAGAGAGAAGGAACCAATAAAGGCAAGAGATAGAGACGTTCCGTCTTTAGTTTCGACATCAATAAATTTAACAGCGGACAAAAATTCGCGTTATAGTCGGGATAAAGAACGAATAGTAATGAAGGATAATGTTTTTGAGAAGAATGGAACTCGAGAGCGTAGAAGCGATAGGGAAAGAGAACGATCCGAAACGAAAGCTCTTTCTGACAGAGACAGAACATCTCAGCGTATTGATAATAGGTACGACAGGAATACTGTGGATAAAGATGCATCAGCTCGTAAGGCTGGTATAAATTCACCTAGGGATCGTATTGATCGTTTTCCTCGAGAAAGATCTTTGGATAGAACATCGTTGCTTGATAAAGGTGTACACAATGCCCCACCATTGTCACAAGCTCCTTCTTTACCAACCGTTCAATCTTCTATAGCATCTTCGTCATCCTCATCTGCACCACCTACATTATCAAGCTCGCGAGACAACTTACTTGACAGAATAGATGTCGGACACTATGATCGTGAAAGACACAGACGATTCAGTACAAGATACGACCGAAATCATACATCTGAACATGATCAATCACGCGTTACACCAACCAAAGTTGATCGTTTGATCGAAAGACGGGAAGCTAGTCCACGACGAACAATTGAAATTGACAGAAACTACAATAGAAATTATGGGCGTTTGTCGGAACATTGGGACGAACAGGAGGAAGCATCTTCGCATTTAGATTATCGTGATCATCATGTTCATGAAGATGATAGAAGAAAAACTGTCGACGGAAGAAGATACGACAGTCCGTTCGATGAAAGACGCGGAATTCGCGAAGAAAGATCTCGAGAATCTAGATATGTCGTTCAAACTACCGACAGAACAACAACATTTGACGATCATCGACATCATCATCATCATCACAGACATCCACTCTACCCTGGAGAAAAATTAAGAAGCAACACCTCCATACGGTATGCTCGTAGCTACAGATATATATTAATGTTTATTATGACAAATAATGAAAATATTTGAACTTTTATATTTACATTAGGGATGAAAATGTTCCTAACGATGATTGGGATAGTCATCATCGTGACGTGGAACATGGGAGAGAACGAACTTATGGTCCTGTTGATTGGGAAGAAAGAGAATGGCGAGTAAGAGGATTATGGGACAATAGAGACAGTATTTCTCAATCAGAGATGCATGATGATGATTGGAATTCTCGATATGATAATTCTGTATCAGATTGGAAATCAAGCGAGTCTCGAAAATGGGATAATCAATCAATGCATATTCGAGGACACTATAGAAACGATCGAACTAAGGAATTAGAAATAGCAGAATCCACATCGCATAAGTATGTTACAAGGTATATTTTTGTTTAATTAATAATTTTTGTAGTAATAAATTGTTTCTTTTTTTTTTAGTAAAAGAAGAACTTACAACAGTTCTGAAACTAGAGATGAATGTACACTTCATAGTTCTAAACAAGCATCTTTATATGGTAGTATGAAAGAAGAACCTATTAATAAAAAGTTAATGGAGCTTGCAGAAGGTAAATTACCTACGACTCGAGAAAAATCAGACACTTTTCAAAAGAAGGCTGTATCGAAAGAGAAACCTGAAATAAAAGAAACTGTTACTTCTGAATCAAAACGTACTTGCATTGACGAGTCTTTGCAAACGCTTCATACTGAAAGTGATCTTAGTGACATTAGTGATGACCCAGATGACATATTAAATATGGAAGATATTACAGTATGTTCTATTTATTTATGTATAACTGGGCTTTCCCATTATCACTTTGTCAACTTACATTATTTTTTTAATGTTAATATTTACAGGATATAGATACAAATAAAGCACGAGTAACTAAGAAAACTCCTGATATCATACAACGAGATGGCCAGCTAACAGCTCAAGAAGCAGATCTCTCGTCTCCGAAAGAAACCATAGAGGAAACAGTTTTCAATACAAAAGGAAAAGATAATGCTGACGCGATGTCCTTCAGGTAGAATTTTTAATTTCTAAAATTCGCCTATTATTATTACATGTAACATATAATTTACTGAATTAATAATCAAAATTGTTCACAGAAATATAGAAGATGAAAATATGGAAACTATGGATTTTGAAGAGATTTCTGATGGTGAATTAGAGGAAGACATTAAAACGAGTGGTAAAGGTTTAGGCGATGCTTTAGGAGTTGATTGGGAAAGTCTTGTTAAAGAAACACAACCTCGTAAATCTGTATCATGTAATAAAAATTCAGAGAATCGTTGGCAGTGTAAAGCGATTCTGCATAGAATTGGTGTTTCTGCTAAATATGCAGGTGAAGATGTAATGAAAAAACTGGCAAAAAAATATGGAAACGACGGTTTGTAATTTTATTAATGCTTATTTCGTGAGATATTTATTATATCACATTTATACTAAATATGCATATCACATCTATATCATTTTTATACTAAATGAGTAATAAATAATATTTATTTTTAGATCATTCAGAATTTTTCCTTCATAATGTTGCATTTATGCACACAGCGCTTGCACGAAATCGCTTGTTACGTGATTTAAATAATGATATGCTACCTACAGTGGATGATTTTCTGTATAGGTAAGTATCGTTATATCTTATTTTTAGCAACAATATACTTTTAATAAAATGCATAATAATACATAAATGCATTATGTTACAGAAATACTAATGTAAATAATGATGAGGACGTGGATTACGATTTAGAAATTTTAAAACCTTGTACAGCTTTATATGAAGAAGCAAAATGTTTATTACAACAGGCAGTATGAAACAATCTTTTAATTTGTAGTACATGATATTCAGAATTGTACTTTGCTACTATATTATATATAATACAGCATAAAGTACAAGTGCATCATATTGTTACTTACTAGTCTTGTTCAGCTATTTAACAATTTCTGCTGCCAACTTAGCCATTTACGGTGCAATGTAAAAAGAAATTAAATTGATACATTTTTCTTAACATCTAGTTCTTTAATTTTCCATAACTAAATATCTTTTTGTATACTATTCACTCTTTATGTATTCTTAATCAAAATTATAATCATTAAAATTGAACATTACAGTAGATGGTATTTTAAAAAGATATAACGATTTTCTAAACAATATAATTTTATTTTCAAAGTTACACACGTTTTCCTTATTATTCTAAGTTTTTTTTTATTATACAATTATGAATTAACTTTATGTTATTTGTCAATAATATTTTTTATACAGTATCTTTATACAGTAATTAGCTGTTTGAAATAATTTTTATCATATTTGAGCGCAATCTCTGAAACAGCATCATTTTGCAATATAGCAATTGCCTTTTTAAATAAACATTGATTTTCATCAATCTGAAAAGATATTTAATGTAAAAACAAAAGATATCAATAGATAAAAAAATACAAATGTAACAATGAAATTTGAACATACTTTTTCAATGTTTGATTTACATCGTTTTATTTTTTCCAAATTTGTGCAGTATAATTCATATAAAATAAGACCTATTAAAACAAATAGTATACTATTAAAACAAAATTTTTAATAGTATACTACTATTACTAGTACTACTACAACATAACTATAAAGATAACAAAATTTCAGGTTTGAATGAACCTCTTTTACCTCTTTTTCTACAATCACCACAATTTAAAGTATCCAATAGACAAAGTAATTCGTTGCAGAATTTTATCTTTAGATCCAACTCGGTATCAGTTAAATCTGATGTAATATTCGAGAAAAGTATCATATAATATACACATAAGGTAATAAGTTTTGAATAAAATATACTCGTACATATTATACGCACCTTCCCATTTTTCGCCATCATTTCTACCATAATAAGAAATAATTCGAAACTTCAGATCTACAATGAGGTAATTGCTCCAAGGAACCAAAAGTGAGAACTCTTTTTGCAGAAATCGATAGATCTCACGTGGTGTTTTGTGTAGAACTTCCTCCACGATAGCCGCTATACCTGAACGAATCGAACATATCTACTAAAAAAGGAAAAACAAAACGTCTGCAATTAAGAGAAAGTTATTAACGTCAAAATCATTTTAGTACTTAAATAAAATTGGCAGTTAATAATTATTAATAAAATTTAGAATTATTTGTATAATTAATGCTGTTAAAGCTAAAAATTATAAATGTAGAGCTTGTTACAAAGTTAACGTTATTTGATTCCAAACAGGGAATTGGAAAAACTTGCAAAAATATAAGAACATTCAGAAATTATTCAGAAAGAGATTATTGATCATATAAGAATATTTTTGAAATTTAAATGATTTAAATACCTGCTGATGACTTATAATTGTGGCACATTTATCACAGATCCAAGGAGTGGTCATATTAAGAGGATCTTGCGGTAATAACTCTCCGGAACATTTATCGGATGCACACAAAAGTGCAGCCAATCTAGATCTAAATTCCTAATGTAGTTTAAAAAAATACACTTGTTTGTTTCAATTATTCATATAATTAAAAATAATTATCAGAAAAGACTGAGATAAGTTGATATATTTTTCAGTTTCTAAATTTTGTAATTTTTGTTTGAAAAATTGCTTACTTTAAATAACCCAATGAAAATATAATTTTATATGCCATCCCTAAATAAATTGAGAATATGAATATTTAGTTTTCTCCCATAAAACTGAAAATTACTAGATAGAATAGACTACGAATTTTCATGTAAATTCATATTTTTGAGTATATAACTAAAAAAATAGAGAAAATAGTTTTATTTACATAATATTGTAGATACCATTGAACTTTAGATATTTTATATACTTTTTCATATTATATGAATATGAAAAAGTTCTATACAATTTCATACTTTTAAATTTCCTATGAATATCTGATTATTAAATAACGAGTGTCATCGTAATTAAAAAAATCGTAACAGTTAAACAATACATTTGATATATTTTATCTTTTATCTCTAATGTCCAAATGATTTCACTCTATTAATCTGCATTTATGTCAACTTGTCCCGGTCTTTCTTATACACGTATGTACGTATAAACTTACCGTGGGATCACTGCACCGTTTGCACATGCAAGAGAAGTGTTTAGTTACGCTTAGAAATTGTCGTCGCAACGTCGTATCCCAAAATAAAGTCGTATAGGTCATAGTGATCTCCTCTCCAGCAGCAATCGGGAATGCAGCGCTAACATACATCTGAAATTCTCCATCGAAATGATGTCTTGTATTAGGTACGCAACAGTGATTTTGCAACGAGGCAATTGGATAAAGTCCTCGTAAGCTCGTAGAACGATCCTTGTCGTGAACCGCGACCGTTTCAAACGAGTTCGTACTAAAAACTTCGCACACATGCTTCATCAGCTCCATATCTTTCTCGCTCGGAGGATTGGCCACATTTTTCTTAAGTTGTTCGAGCTTTTTATAGAAATTATTTTTATAGTAGCAGAAGATAAAAATAAAAAGTATAATAATAATTTTTATCATTTTTCTAATGATAAAAATGTATATCAATAATAATAATTAACGCGTTGGTATTATATTAATATCCTTGTAAATAGAATATAAAGCTTAAGAGTAAAATACGAGCACAATTTCTCACGATTTGTCTTTGTTAAATTCGACGATATTTATTGTCGTAAAAATATGAATAACGAAGTTTAGTAATACTAAATTTGTAGAAAAAGCTTGTTTCTCGGATCAACGCGCAAATTTTTCCAGAAAGTTTCAATAAGAAGAATAGTAAAACGAATTTATACCTCGTAGTTGTAAATCAAGGATTGATCACGCTGAAGTGTCGCTAAGCATTTACGTTGTTGTTCCGTCATGAAAAGCGCGCGGACGGCTGTCACGGTCATCAGCAAACTCGGAGACCAATCGGTACCGCAAGTCGGTACCAATGATCTTAAATACTTGCATTCATAGTTGACATGCTTTGGCGAATTTTCACATCGAGTCGAGCAAACTGGCAGGCCGCAGCCTCTATCGCACGGAAATAACGGGCACTCGTTCTTGTAACAGCACACGCATAGTTGAAGATGTTTGGTTGTACACCTTGGCCCGATTAATATAGGTACATCAACGAAAATTAACTCATTCTGTTCGATGTCTCGAGTAGCGAACATGCCACGGCCATTTAATGGCGAAAAACGAATGGTCCACGGTTGCGGCCCTTCCCGATAGATCTTATTATTTTCCTTCAAATGAGACACCAACACTTCCTCCACTTCCTTTGGCTCTATGATATCCTGAAGACTCATATCGAAGTATGATGATACTTCAGAGTGATACCTCTTCGAAAGATTTCAAGAGCGATGTCTTCAAGACTACAATCTTGTTAGAATATCTGCAGATTTAGGAAAATGTTCGACTTATATAATGCATTAGTATTTATACATCGTATCTCTGCAGGGTGCGTTGACCTTCGTATACGATTAATCAAATTACACAAATAGATCAGTTGAATTGCTGTTAAAGATAATTTATTACGTAAAAGATTTTTATGGGACTGGATGGTATTATTATTATTATGCAAAACAGTGATACTATCGTATGTTAGTGCGTCCAGTTTCGATTAAAAATAGACTTGGAATTTTATCTGTTACTTCATGCTATATTTAATCGTCAGTCAGAAGTAACGATAAAAATCAGGAAAGTTACAGTATAAAGTAATAATGTATTTGCAACGTATGCTATACAATAAAATAGAAATAAAATTAATCTTTCGTCGATGAATTTACTTCAATCATTTACTACGCTGTTTCACAAGATAACACAGCGATTACAAAGCTGAATAAAAATTGTTATTGACGAAGCAAATTTTCACGCAAGCGTATCCGTCGTGTATCATCCGTTTGTATAGTCCTAAGCGTTGCTAAGACTACCAACTGGTCAACTACCTGTAACAAATACTAAGTAAAGTATGAAGCATATCTATATTGCACTCGGATAGTTATACCATTGAGAAAAGTGTAAACCGATGTAAGTGGACGCATTACATTTACAATTCACGGCTCTTCAATCCCTTTTAATGAATTCGCCAATCCATTAAACTACAAGGAATTAATTAATTTCATTGTCTATATTAAAATAATTATATAAACCCATATATTGTTTCATAAATCGAATTCATGAAATCAAAGTTCCTTACGTGTTTCCAACAAGAGTTAAATTAAAATTAAATCGAATATGCGTTCTATATCGTGAGAAATTTGAAAATGACCTGTATTAAAAATTATGCCATTATTATTCAGAATGCCTTATAGAGAGGTGCTCGCTGAAAGATTTACGAAAGAGAAGATTCTTATCCTGGCACTATTTTCCCTCTCAACGATTGGTTTCTCACGAGGTCTAAATTGCAGCGGCGACCCTTGCATGTATGGAATTTGTTTAGAAGACGCGAACAGGTACACAAAATAGTTCAAAGTTAGAATAAATACTTTCAGTTTGTTCGTTATATTCAATTAAGAAAGCGGATTATAAATGAAAAAAAGGCGACTCTCTGTTATAAGTTTTTTAAAATTAACATATTAGTCATTCGTCTCGTGAATATATACTATAGCACTTATTCTTGCTACTGTATCGACGGTTACACCGGAATCAATTGCGAGATCAATTGGAATGATTGTTGGTCGAATCCTTGCCTCAACGGAGGGACATGCAACGATGGTGTTGCAGCTTATAATTGCACCTGCAGCGAGGGATTTGTAGGTAATTCGTGATTCGTTCGTTTACTCTTCGTTGCATGTTTCGAAAACACGCCACGTTTTGACGGGTTAGCACACGGGGTGATTAAATGTTTGCGCTGTCGATCTCTTTGATAAGGTGTAAAATTAAAATTCAATCTTTACGTTCACTTTTGGATGACTATTGCATTATTATATACGTTATAATAATAATCTATATTTATAAATAATAATAATCTATATTATTTTCAGGTATAAATTGTGAACAAAGATATAGCGAATGTTCCAATCAACCTTGTCTAAATAACGGGACTTGTCTCGATTACGATGGCATCACTTGTCAATGTCCTGACGGATATTCAGGTAAAAATGTATATAAATCTTACTGTAACGGACTGTATCGATGTGACACGTTTGCTTGTAGTAATTGATATTCTTCAACTCTAAAATTCCTTTTCAAATATATATATATAAACAAAAACGAGTAAATTAAACATAAATAAAAGGCACTTTTTTTTTGTGCGTTGCATATATAATACAGTAGTAATGTTCAGTATTGTCATTGGATCACGCATCTTCCGCGATTTTATCTTCTGTTTTGCGACGATTGACACCCAATGTGGTTTTATTCTTACAACTCATTCCCTTTTAAGGAGATTATTGTGAAATTGACGCCTCGGTTTGTAACGATACCATATGTAAGAACGGTGGTGAATGCGTGGAAGGACCTGGATTTTCTTTCCTTTGCCGTTGCTCGGAAGGTATATAACACTTTACCAAGTAATTTATATTTATTTGTATTTTTCATTTTGAATTGAAATATTGCAACACGTTGAAAAACAAATTTTTTTATTGCAAAGGTTGGACAGGTCGATTGTGCGACGAAGATATCGATGAATGCATCATATCACCGTGCAAGAACGGTGGCCTTTGTATTAACATTCCTGCTTCGTACACATGCGCTTGTTTATTTGGTAAGACACTCTAGATAATTTAGAGATTCAATTTGAGGATACCCTTAAATTATTTCGAATGTAATAGTGTACTGATATTAAATGTTCTTCCCAAGGATATACAGGCAAAGATTGCGATAAAACCATAGTACCTTGCGAACAGAATCCTTGCGTAAACGATGCAGTATGCTTGTTCGAAGACGAACGGCCAGTTTGTTACTGCGTGCCAGACTATCATGGTGCATTGTGCGAATTAAAGTACGACGACTGTGAATCGAAATTTGCAAACTGCGAGAACGGAGGCACTTGCATCGACGGTATCAACAGTTTCACTTGTGCTTGCCCAACGTTTTACAGCGGGCCATTCTGCAATGTTTATGATCTTCCATCGACTTTCTCAACCATCGAAGAAACGCTTGAGACTGATATTGATCAAAGAAATATTACCATTACTTCGTTTCCATTGAAATCATCGACACTGCCACAGACCGATACATCATCATCGATTACTGTTTCCACGACAGTGCAGTCTTCAACTCCTTTTAAAAGCACCAACCGTGCTCACACAATATGGTACCCTTTTGTAGAAACAACGTCCTCAACTGATAAAAATTTCGACTTTCTTACTAGTAGCAGCAGTACCAGTAGTAGCATTAGTGGGAGCACTACAGAAAGTCCTCCGTTTGTTACAAATGTTTCGCCTACGTATTCTGTTACAAGTAAACAGATAACTGAAACTGAGACAGTGTCGTTAGAACCTCGAACATTTCACAGTATCGCGGACGAAATCCACTCGATAACGTCGACGACGAAGGTAGAGGAATATTTGACACAGAAATCGATTTACAATGAAACGATGATGACTGAAATTATGTCTCAAGAGAACGGTGGTAGGATGTTCACGTCCACCAGCGATACGTCTTCTGAAGCAAGCAGCACAACGAAATATGTTCCAAGTACAGGGTAACGATAATTTATAATTTATATACATATAATAGTAATACCCTCAGATGGACGATCTATCTTGTTTTATTGTCAATTAGGTATTATCCAGTTATAACTACATCTGTCGAAAAACCGACAGAGGAACATGCAACGACCGAAAGTGAAAGAAATGATGGTCCATTCTCTACTGTTACATCTTCCTTAAATTTTACAGAACTTTGGCAAAATAAAAGCTCGGAATCGACTACCCCCCGAGTTACACCTCAGCCATTTACAGATAAGTGGACATCCATAGAATTAACAAGATCTTCAACTACAGAAATGGAAAGTTCTACATTGGCCTTCACTAATAATATCTCTTCGTCTGTGACAACTAGTAGCTCTGTAAAGCCAATATCCAATAAAACTACTACCGAGAACGAACGCGAACAATTTTCAACGAAAACTGAATTACCATCAACTTCAAAAAGTATCGTCACTCCTGAATGTCATGGAATTTTGTGCCCAAGTTCCACAGTATCACCTACGCGTAATGATAGCGACGCAAGTGTTACACTTCTTTTTCATCCTTGTTGTTTAAACTTTTTATTACCGTATTGTTTATAATAAAAACATTAATATTCTTTAGTGTAACTGTTCACATCGGGAAGACTGTAAACCTGGATCAACTATAGTACGGGCGGCGTTTAATGGAAAGTCTTACGCAAGGCAACACGTTGATGTAGAAATTTCAAATGACAATAACGCAACGTTAAAAATTTTCGTCAGGCTCAAAACGCGTTATAAAGATGGTATTATATTACACGTTTATTTCGATGACGAAAAATACGCGTTGGTATATTTAGAATATGGTTCTTTAAAGTTTCAATTCTCCTGCGGGCTTGAAACTATGTTATTAGGCGAGATAGATTCACCTATCGATAATGGATACGATGCGGACATTGACACAAGGTAAAATAATACAATAACAATAATATATTGTTTATCATATCTATTCATTGTATTAATTTATTTTATGTGTATAGGTTTCAATACTTTATGAAGAATGAAACTAATAAATGTTCAGCTCGTTTGTTAGTAAATGGAACAACGGCAGTTAGCGGAGAACAAATTTTACCATTACGTGGAAATCTCCCACGACATGCTAATTTACATTTAGGCGGTATACCATTGGTATTTTCCCATTATTTCGCTCATGTCTCTATGGGATTTACTGGTTGCATGGACTCATTAAAGGTTCGTCTTTTTGTAAACATGTTGAAAGCATCCGGAAAATTAAAAATTTTATTTTATTTTAACATAGATAAACGATATACCACGTCATTTCATCCATGATTCCATAGAAACATTTCAAATCGAAGATTGCACATCGTTTTTATGCTTATCAAATCCGTGTAAAAATTTTGGTGCATGCGAAGAAATAAACGGTGCAGTGCGTTGTAGATGCATAGCTGGGTAAGATAATTTACAATTCGTACCTGAAAATTCGCTATCAAAGGATACTGTGTAAAACAGAATATCATGTAACAGATATACAGGTCCATTTTGTGAACGTTCGACGTGCGATGAAAATCCTTGTGCCTTGGGTGCAACTTGTATCAATTCACCAGGTGCGGGTTTCGTTTGCGTTTGTCCACTCGGAACTCATGGACTTTTATGCGAAGAAGGTAATATATGCTATTACATATTTTGAAAGTGAAATGTACAAGTATATTTTATTTTGTACTCCCAGATACTGTCATAATGCGACCATCATTTTCGGTACTTATACCTGGATTCTCATCGTATGTCGCATATGGCATTTCAAATTCTATAAAAGATACAATGGAATTGAAACTGAAGATCATACCGCGTACTTACGAACAAATATCCTTGATAGCTTATTTAGGACAAAGTGGATCTCGTCGAGATCTATCGGATCATCTTTCCATAACATATGTCCGTGGCTACATTATGTTAACATGGGATTTAGGAGCAGGTAATGTATCTTAATAATCTAAATAAATATAATAATATATCTAAACACTTTTTAGTCCTGTTTAATTTCGTTCTTTAGGTGTTCGTAGAATTTTCACAAATGTTCCCTTGAGTGCTACAACAATGGCAACGAGTAAACATCACGTAGCATATACAATCAGAGTTGGAAGAAAGGGTCGAGATGCATGGCTTGCAGTGGATGGTATAGGTAATGTAACTGGACGAGTGATTGGAACCATGACACGACTTGATGTATCACCGATACTTTATATCGGTTCGTCCTTTATAATTTCACAATTTATATTAAAAAGTAATTTGTACACAATATTATTGATAAAAATGATTGTGTGTGTATTGTTCTGTTCAGGTGGACATAAGTCGAAAAACTTTGAATCTTTACCTCACGATTTACCCCTTCATACTGGATTTTCCGGTTGTATATTTGACATTGAATTACGCACAGATACCGCTATTTACCCAATAACCAATTCGAGTCCTGCAACAGGTCGTGGTGTTGGTGAATGTCATAGAAATGAATGCATTCGTCATTTATGTAAAAATGGTGCAGTGTGCTTAAATCATGGAGCTACATATAGGTAATGTTACATTAATTATCTATAGCTAATATATAATCTTTAATATCGAAATAAAATATCAATTAATTATTTCAGTTGTATTTGTACAAAAGAGTGGATGGGTTCCGACTGTTCCATACCAGCAGAGGCATCATTATCTTTTGTTAATCCATCTTGCCATACTTCAAATTAATAAAAATATTGTTACTATTTCGTTTCATTCCAATACATTATATGTACAAAATTTATTCAATCAATTTTTATAAATTAATCAACATTTTTATCTATTTTTGGTTGATGTGACACAGAGTAAGAATTCAAATGCACAAATAAGATAGCTGCAGCTAAACGACTTTGCAAATCAAATTTATTATGATCGTGAAACCATTCTACAGATCCCCAGTGAGAAACCTATAATAAGAAGTAAAATAGTTCAGAAAAAAATTATATTAATTGTAAACTTCTTGATATAAATATTGCTATATGTACTTGATAATTTTCCTCCAAACGCGACTGTCTTACTGCTTCTTTTATACTAATTAGTCTTTCTGCTGCAGCTAGAGTAAGAATTACAGATTTGATTGCATCCACTCCATACATAAAACCTACAAATATAACAGCTATATTATAATATTCATTTCATATTTATATATATTAATAACAACATTATCTACCACAAACGGCACTGTAATTGTGGGACATTAAGTGTCTTGTCAATATTGCTTTAGTTTCTAAAGGTACTGTAGGAGCTTCTATACTTTGAGTTTTAATTAAATTTACTCCATAATTGTCACAAAACCATTGTACTAGTGGATCCCAATTTTCAGTTTGTAATTTATACAATTCTTCATTTTCCTAAAATTACTTTCTACTTAATAAATATCTTATGTTACATGAATAACATTATAATATAGTACATACATATGAATGAAATAATATTGTATCCATTTCTAAACAATTCACAATATAATTTACCATATCTTGCTTTGTGTGATTGTGAGGATTATCTATCACAGTATTACATAAGGCTGTCTATAAAAATAAATATAGAAATCTTGTTAAATCTTGTTCATCAAATTATATATAATTATTTATATATTTCATTATAAAAATAATTTTACCAGATGCATACTACTTTTGTCAATAGTATTCTTTTGCATGTCCCACTCTGCTGCTATAGCTAAAGCTAAAGGTTTATTATCCACTTGTAATACTTTTCTTTGCGGTGTTTTGAGTTTTCTTTGATCAAGCGTAATTTCAAATTTCCCATCACTGAGCAATATATTTGTCTTTCGATAAAATCTTTTAAGAGTGGCTAAAAAAGAACCCATATATTTTTGTAAGAATTTCGTTCATAAAATTATTCTTCTTTCCATTTTTAAAAGTGGTATCGATATACATATTGTAAAAATAGGTTAAGAGTATACAGAAGGATTTATAATTTAGAAAGTAATGTATCATTACCCATATTTCTTACTATGTTAAAGGTCACAACGAAGTTTTTATACTTAAAGTGATACATTTTCACTAAATATTAAAATATAAGTTTATCATAAATATTTCATCTACCTAACGTGCATGTAGTACGTACATACATAAACAACAATTGTACCGCGACTATAGTATTATTTGGTATCGTTAGTTATCGATAGTTTATGTATAGATAATCGAGAGCATAATATAAATAATATACATTTTTCTCCAATTCTTAATTTTATTATTCATTATTTTTTAAATCACAAACTTACATTCAAGGCCTTTTAGTAATTTTCTAATGTTAATTGCAATGAAATATACTGCAAAAACATACTTGGATATATTATTTTGCGCTATATTTGTTTAGTTATTTGTACATAAACTTCGTATATATGTATTTTTATAAAAATTTCAAATAATTAAAATTTTGACAACATGTAATTGAGAATATTTTTCTATTAAATACTGCTTTCTATAAAATTACAAATTATACTCTAACTAAAAACTTTATATATATATATGTGTGTAGTATGTGTAGAGAGCGTGGGTGGATCAGTTGGATTCTATACGTGTTTAAAAGTTTATAGATGACTGCCACAACAAAGTTGGGGAAAGTATATGAAAATAGTTTCAGCAATAGAAGCTTGTACATTTTCTAAAATCATATATAACAATTTACATTTATCAAATTATATGTACAAGAACGATTAAAGTTAACCACAAAATGAAATGTTATCAACTGGTTTTGGTCGTTCTGAATGTATGCTTAGTGCATGGTTTTAATTTAGAACCAAGAATACCTGTTATCAAAAAAGGATTAAGTGGCTCTTATTTCGGTTACTCTGTAGCCGAACATCAAGAAATTCCCGATGATGATAAGGGAAGGCCGAAAAGCTGGTACGTATTACTTGATATTTTTGTTGCAATTACTAAAAAAATATATACAATAATTAAAATTACCAAAAGAATATGTACAATAATAATGATTGAATATCGTGTGATTTATTGTTGTTGTATAATGTTAATATTTTATTAATTTATCTATTTTATTTGCTTTCATTTATTTTTATTTTAATCTGTTTATTACAACAGTATATAATGATAAAATAAGGCTTACATAAAGTTATGTTACAGGATGTTAATTGGAGCTCCTTTAGGTCAAAATAGACAGCCAGAAACTAACAGGTCTGGTGCGTTATGGCAATGTCCTTTGACAACATATAAAACAGATTGCACTCAAGTGATTACGGATGGACGATCAAGTATGTCTTTAATTAAAGAAAGTTTTTTAGAAATATTGATATAATCATTTTATAGAATCTAATTCTATATGATATTAAACTATTTAGTTTTCAGGAGCATATTGTATTTATTAGTATATAATACATTTTATTATTAATTAAAATATATTAGAACTTGTTATAATGAAAATGAGTTGGAATTTAACTACAGTATATTGTTATTGAAATTAATTTATGTTTTATTAGTAAAATTATATACATATTTTTTTTATTTTTATGTTATAATATATGTCATCTTACGTTTATATATGATTTTGGTGTAATCATTGTGCATGTCATTTTTTTATGTTATCATCTCATAAAGTCATTAAGTTATTGTGCTTTATTTTATGTTATATATATATAATAAGATTATTTTTTTGTTAAATTATGTATTGGTTAACGAGCAGCAGAAGGGAGTCTGTATGACACAAGTAAGTTAATGAATGATGTTATGTGAATGAGCAGCCATTTACTTTTTTTATTATTTTATTATGATTTTATATATACATATATATATATATATATATATATACATACATTGATATGTTCATTTTTATATCCGCATGACATTTTATGTTACAATGTAATAATTATATTCTTGCATTATTTATATTTTGTGATTGAAAGAATATTTTTTATCAAGAGCACCATTAACAAATCATCTTTTTTATATTGCTAACATATTTTTACTAACCACATTTGCATTTTAAAACATTATGTTAACACAAAAAAGTAAAATTACTTGTCTTTTCATTTGTTTGGAAATTATATATTTAATTGTTATTGCTTCTTAACCCTTTGAATGCTTAAAATTATTAAAAGTATAAAAGTTTAATACTGAAAGAAGAACATAAATTAAGAATTGATTCATCTTCAATACAGTACAACTTATTCAATATATTGTAATATATCATCTTCTTTGAATCTCTAATAAGTAAAATATTATTATATTGATTATATTGATTATAATTATTTTATTGATTATAAGATTATCTATAGAATACTGTACTATAGAATACTGTACACTCAAAGGGTTAAAAATGTTTATGCCTATCCTTTAATGGCTATAGCATGAAATTTCATAGATAATAATTTATATTATTCAGCTTTCCTTTATATTTCTCCCTTATCTTTTCTTTTTTAAATTTTACAAAATTTCTAAATTTCAAAATATTTAAATTTTATACTATATCTTATTATACAATTTAAAATAGGAAAAAATTTGGTAATTTGAAAACATAAATTATATAAATGACACGAAATTTAATGTTTGAAATTTCTGATAGAAAACACTTATGTTGTAAAATGAATAATATGTATATTATATGATTATTAGTTGTTATTATTATTTATTATTTAATAAATTGTTTTCTAAATTTTAGATATTGAATCTGATGACTTAATACCACCAGGCAATGATGAAATTAAAGATAATCAATGGTTAGGAGTAACAGTGCGTAGTCAAGGTATTGGTGGCAAAGTAATGGTATGAATTTTATCACATTTCATCTATTGATATTATTAAGTTAAATATAATTCAATATAACAAATTTGTAGGTTTGTGCTCATAGACATATTGTAAAGACAGCAGATTCTCAATGGGGTCAAGGACAATGTTATATATTAACACAAGATCTGAAATATCATGATTTAAAAAAACCTTGCTCTGGGAAACCAACCAATAAGTAATTCATTTATTATAATTATTTTTAGAATTAATGTTTTTATGAAACATTTTACATTATACGTTATATGTTATTTTTAGAATTAATGTTTTTATGAAAATTAATAGAAATATGATTCTGTTTCAGAGCACACGAACAGTTTGGGTATTGTCAAGCAGGAACTAGTGGTGTTCTTACCTCGGAAGATCGTGTTGTTATTGGAACTCCTGGCCCACATACTTGGAGAGGAACTTTATATCTCTTTACCGTTTCAGAAGAGTTTTTAACTAGAGATAATACAGTTTATAATGCTCCAATGCAAGATTCTTCACCTGTCAATAAATATAGCTATTTAGGTAAATATTTCATATAAAGATAATATAAATATTTCTTTTATGTGTATATGATGTGATATTTAAACGTATTTAGCTTATTAAATTATTATAGAAATATATAAAATAAAAGATTAATTTACAGGAATGTCTGTTACTGTGGGTAATTTCTTTGGCACTGGACTAGCTTATGCTGCTGGAGCTCCACGTTCAAATGGCACAGGTCAAGTTGTTCTGCTTACACGACGCGATTTTAAACCAGATATGGATGTTGCTTTTATTTTGGATGGTGAACAATTTGCTTCAAGTTTTGGATATGAAATTACATCTGCAGATGTTAATGGAGACAAGTATAATGCTTAATATATATTATTTTTAAACATATAAGGAACATTTCCATAATTATCCTATTACATTTTTTTATTTTTAGAATTACTGATCTTATTGTAGCTGCACCTTTTTACTTTAATAAGGCAGAGGGAGGTGCTGTATATGTTTATACTACATTACAAAAAACTTACAAAGAACGTGAAAAGAGTAAACCTATCAAACTTGTTGGCCGTGAAGAATCAAGGTTTTATTATTTTTTTAAGTTTGTATATATGACTGAATATGCAACAATAAATAGATGTAACTTAATTATAGATTTGGGTTTGCTTTGACAAATTTGGGAGATTTAAATAAAGATGGATATGAAGATATTGCTATTGGAGCTCCATATGAGAAAAAAGGAACAGTATATATATATCTTGGTTCAAAAAATGGAATAATCACAGTACCCTCGCAGGTATCATTACATTTTTATGTACAATATTATAAAAATAAATTAATTTCGTGTGTTAATATTTATATTTAGGTTATTCATGCAGAAGATATGCCAGAACCATTACAAACGTTTGGCTATTCATTAAGTGGCGGAATTGATATGGATCAAAATGGATATTCTGATTTATTAGTAGGAGCTTATGAAAATGATGCTGTAGCACTTCTTCGTTCAAAAAAAATTATTGACATCACTACTTATATCCGTTATATAAAAAAAGATGGTACAGTTCAAGATAAAATAGAACCTATAGATCCTAATAAAGTCGGATGTCCAGGAGATCCAAATTCAAACCATACATGGTAAGTGTAATTTAATGAAATTTTGAAATAATATTACTTTCATAAATATTTTCTGTATAAAATTTCAGTTTCTCATTTGAAGCTTGTTGCAAAACAGAATCTTTAGTAAAAGAAGAAGATTTGCAAAATCTAAAATTAAATTATTATATCGAAGCTGAAACTTATAGTGGAGTTAAAAAATTTTCTAGAGTTTGGTTTGGAGCTGAATATTTTCATCTACATTATATAAATCGTACTGTTAATTTAGATACAAAGAAGTTAGAGCATTGTCAGAAGGAAATAGTTTATTTAAAGGTATATTTTATATAGTAGAAATAATATTTGTATTAATAATATTAATAATATTATAATATTTTATCTTATTTAGGAAAATACACGTGATATTCAATCACCTATTAAATTTCGCTTAAATTATTCATTAATACAAGAAGAACCAATTATGCCGGCTGAAGGAGAACCTTTACCTGATATAAAAAATTATCCTATATTAAACCAACAAGAATCTGCTCGTGTATTTGAAGCAACTTTTCAAAAAGATTGTGGTAATAATGATATTTGTGAAACTGATCTACAAGTAAAGGCTCGATTAAATTTATCAGGTATATTTTTAAATAAATAAAATTATTGAAATGTTAAACTGAAAAAAATTTATAAAAATTAATATATAATGTGCTTAATTACTAGCTTCTTCAGTGAAACCAAATTTCTATGAACTTCTCCTTGGTGAAAGAGACGAAGTTGTAGTTGATGTAAATGTGTCTAATATTGGAGAATCTGCATATGAAGCACAATTATTTATTATTCATTCTCAAAGTTTAAATTATATTGCTAGTAAAAGCAATGACTCTGCTATCTGCAATCTACATAATGCAACTATAGTAGGCTGTTCTATTGGAAATCCTTTTAAAAAGGATAAAATAGTTAATATACAAGTAAGATTTGATCCCAAAGAATTAGAAGATAACAAATCACAATTGGAATTTGTAATATTTGCAAACTCCACTTCAAAGGAAATAAAAGAAAAAGAACCTATAAAATTACAGGCGACAGTATTGAAACAAGCCGAATTGTCGATTAAAGGGTATTATTTATTTACGATACCGATGAGAAAAAATTATAATATAAAATAAGAGTATTAATTATAAATGAATAATTTAAATTATAGGAGTGCAAAAATTCAATGGGCCTTTTATGGTGGTCCAGTTGTAGGTGAATCTGCCATAAAACATTTAAATGAAGTAGGACCTAAAGTATCTCACGTGTATGAAGTATTTAATGAAGGTCCATGGAGAGTAAGTAGTTTAGAAGTACGCATTTCATGGCCTTATGAAGTTGCAAATGACAAAGCTCATGGTAAATGGCTTTTATATTTGGAAGAACTACCAACTGTACAAGGTAAAATTTTATTTTGTTTGTTAATATAACATTTTTTTATATCCTATTTAATATTTAAATATATATATATATATATATATATATTCTTATTTACTACAACTTTGTAGCTTTAGGTGATGGCGAATGCATATTGCCATCAGGACAAGTAGTTAATCCATTAAAATTGCAAGACAGTGTTAGTTATGATGATATTGATGTGTTTCAATCTATAATATCTACTCCTCTTCCATTGCCGCACAATCATACTAATCATATGAGAATTAGACGAGATACCGAGAAAGTTGTTAATACACGAACGATCATTGATAAAGAAGGTCACAGACATCAAGTAGTCTCTATGGTGGGTAATTTATGAAAAAGAAATTATTATATAAGAAATATAATAAATATTTAAAATTTATCATTAAATCTTATAGAATTGTAAAACAGGAACTGCAAAATGCTTTGATATCACATGTTTTATATACAATTTGCAACGGAAACAGGAAGCAATCATAACTGTTAAAGCAAGGTGATATTTGATATATCATACATAGTCGTATTTTTTCTTTTTTTTGACTGAACTTTTCATTCACTAAATTAACATTTATGTATGTTCAGATTGTGGAATTCCACTCTTGTAGAAGATTATCCAAAAGTAGATGAAGTTAAGATAGGTTCCAATGCAAAAATTGTTATACCATCTAATGTTATAATACAACAAGAAAATTTAAAAGACGATTACGCAATTGTAAGTATTATGCTTTAATATTATCAATTCACCATTTTTCACTTTGTAATCATGTATTAATGTATAGGCTGAGACAATTGTATATCCAGATCTTCTTGATCATCAAGATGGTGAACCAGTGCCAATATGGATAATTATAGTAGCTATTGTAGCAGGTTTGTTATTATTCATCTTAATTACTTTAGTCCTTCGAAAACTTGGATTCTTTAAAAGACGGCGGCCAGATCCTACTTTATCAGGAAATCTTGAAAAACATAGAGATGATAATCCAGAAAGTGAGGCATTATTTAAGCGCTAAACATTATAAAAAGTAGACTGTACTTTTTTGGCGCAAGTTATTTCATTTACTTATATTTAAAGTACTTACAAAAAAGTCGCAAAAATTAATAATTCTTTAGGAAAAAAATATATATATATATATACAAAATTAAGCAATTTAATGTAAAACATTTGGTATCCATATTGTGATATATCGACATATTTATACATATATTTTTTTTAGAAAAGCACAAAAATTTCTACTGTTATATTTTATATTATACATGATATCTATTTAATAACTACATCATCATCTTAATAATAGTTGAATTATTGACTTTTTATAAATTCTTTTTAACGTACTTTTACGAAATAATTTTATAAAATTATGCAAAATATTAAAGACCACTCTTTGATAATAATACTGTTTAATTTGTACATTGGTATAAGCGCACAACTTAAAATAAACAAAAAAAAAATATATAAGGAAAAGTATAAAATTTTATATTTATATAATGAAACAATAAATAGCGGCATAGTGTAAGATTATTTTACAACTTTCGTTTATCTGTCACAATTAAATAACAATATGGTGTAAGATAACTTTCGATTTTAGATATGCATTTATTTAATATTAAATATTTCTGTAAGCTATACAGAAAATATTTAATATATTTTGCGACAAGACTGAAACTATAAAATGCGCTTTTTATTATACAGAATTTATATAATTACTATTTTATTAAGAAACAATTACAAAGTGAAAAATTTATAATAAATGCCATTAATTTTTTAACATATGATTACTAAAACAAATTACATAAATAAATACTTAATTTATAGAGTTCAATGCAAATAAAAAGATGAAATTTAAATTCATATTGTCTTTTCATTGTGACTTCAAATTTATAATATGTATAATTGTATTACGTTTGCATAGAAGAAATAAATTATTTAATATTGTTTATAATATAAAAATTTTTAAAGAACTTAGTTATATAACAAAAATTTTTTTAAAACAAAATACTTTTTATTTTAATTGTCAGTAATATACATAAATTATCAAAGTTAAAGAATGTTTAATGTAATGTGCCTTTAAAATATTGAATACATCTTGTCAACTGTTATGTTATATATATATATGACCTGTTATATATTAAAGTATACATATAGTTTAAATGTATACCAGGTACTTAAAACCTATTATTTTGTCAATTAGGTAATGATTTAATTTACTTCCATGCTATAACACATTCCTCAAAGTATTCATATATTTTCGTGTATTAAAGTAATAAATGCGATTATATTAAGACATTTTGATCTAAATTCTTATATTAACATTAAAATGTTTGTAATATTTACTATTAATTACACTGCCAATAACAGCTAATTTTGCCATGTTAAATATTATTTACAAAAACAAGATGATTGTTTATATCAATCTAAAAAAACTTTATATTACATATTCATTGTATTACTATATTTTAAATTTTATTGTAAATTATAACTTTGATATATTATTTATATATTTGTAAACTAATATCTTTACAAAAAGAAATATATACTATTAATATATTTAAGTAGTACATGAAGATGTATCTGTTTTGTAAATTTCATTTAATGTTCAATAAAAAATAGTGTTTTACAATTAACAAAAAAGCATTAAATAAATTTACTATTTTATAAAACAACAATAAAACAATATTTTAGTAATATTGCTAAGGAAATATGGAAGTATTAATAACTAATTAATAATTAGTAAATTAATGCATATGATGATCAGTATCTAATATTAATTTACCATAACATTTATTCAAATAAGAACAATCTGCCATCATAAATCTGAAAATTTTATAGAAATATATTTATAATATATTAATATTAAATAAATTATACTTACCTATATAACAAAATTGTAAGAGGAATTGTACTAGCATGCCATAAAGAGTGAGTATCAAACATCCAAAAGATTGGTGCAAAATCTGCAATTTCTAATATGGTAACAAAAACTGTTAATATATTGAACCAGCCAATTAGATAAATATAAGATAATTTTTTGCGATTGCGATGCCACCATATCATTGTTATAATAAATGTTAAAAAACCTGTAATATAATTAGTCATAATTTTTATATTTAATTAAAAATGTTTCATTAATGGAAAAAATAAAAATACTTAAATTACCTATAACTATATTAAACTTCATATTATAATCATAATTAATGTAACCAGACCATAAATGAGATAGATGTGAATACAAAGTGCTAAGATATCCACATGTAATCACAACAAACAACCTATTTTTTTTATAAGTTATCCTAAAATGCATGAAGTAAAAATATATTCCTTAATTTTTTTTTAATATTATATCCTTATGTTTAATAACATAAATTACCTTAATAGCATACAATATAATAATGTAAGAACCATAATAAATGCACAGGAATAATCCATGACTTCTGTGAATGGAGTGTCTCTTGCATGAAAAATAGATGACCAAAACCATCCATGCATGCATATCTGAAATTAAATCTTTTAAAAATAAAAATATTTATATAACAATAGAATTATATTTATTTCAATAAATACCAGACTAAAATAAGTCCATATATAAAACATAGGATAAGTAGATCCATATTTTCTTTTAAATTTCCAATACATAGTAATGTGAGCATAAAAATTTAATATAGAAAATATAACAGAAGCAGGTTCTTGACAGCCAAAAATACGAATAAATGGCCACTGAAATGAAAATCATTCAAATCAATTGTTAAATCTTATTAAAACTTATATTTTGCTTTTTGTTACAAAATGCATCAAATACCTACCTTTCCATGGAATTGAGGAACTTTTAATCCATGAGATGTAAAATAATCAACTGTCTTCCAAATACAACTATAACTACAGTCTTCTTTACAAGACCAAAATAATAATCTTAAAGATAAGGGAGGTAGTACTTTAAATTTTTGGTCTGTAAAATAATAAGTTGATACATCAGTAACATACAGTTGATACATATTGCATAATAATATATCATAAAATATTAAAATATTTTCTTTGTTATCTTAATTTTATCGTTAGAGATTAATGTTATTAATTATTTCAAAATATATCACCGAATTTTTCCCCGTTACATTATTAAACATACATACCACCATCACAATTATTATTATGACATTTTTCAAGACATAAACTGTAAAACTGAGATCTATCACCTATCGAACCATCTATACTTGTTGCTAAAAATATTTGAAATGTCAAAATTGTCAACCATTTTAATTTCGACATATTTCCTGCATGCCACTGCAAGCTCTATCTATTGTACCTTAAATTATATGTTACGATGTTAAGAAACCTTATAATAATACAGAAATCCAATAAAATCTTAAAGTTGTTGCCATTGGTTATAATTCTTGTATACTACTAGAATACATTGTCTTTGAGCTGAACGTAATGATTTTTTTTAACTTAAATGTTAAAAGATAAAATCAAAATAAAACATTGAATTATACAAATGTTTGAATGCTAATATAACAAAAGAAAAAGTAATACAAAATAATAATTAATTAATCTATTAATTTATTTTAATAGATAAATAAAATTGTAAATATTTATTTTACGTCTCGTACGTAAGAAGTATCAAATATTGTGTAATTTGAATCACACACGCGTACTAATATGTACATTTCAACATATTTATTTTTATTCTCATTTATATCTTTACGTATAAAATAGAATAAAGATCTGTCATGGACGATTATATTTTAAATATGATATGCAAACAATATGAAACATAAATTTTTTGATAGTTAGACACACTTTGAAATGTACACACTTTTACATGGATTGTACAAGTATCTTGTGCAAAAGGATGAGTATTTTATATTAATATTAGGCCTCGACAATGCAGGGAAAACGGTGAGGAACCAAAAAAGTCTAGATAATTTGTGGTTAAGTAAGTAAACAAATTTGTTTTCATGCGGCTTTTGTATCCATAGACTTATTTAGAAGCGGCGAAAACAAAATTTACAAAGAATTACAAAGGTATGAATCCTAGTAAAATTACAACAACTGTTGGTTTAAATATTGGGAAAATTGACATAGCTGGTGTTCGTTTTAACTTCTGGGATCTTGGTGGACAAGAGGAACTTCGATCACTGTGGGATAAGGTAATTAATAATTTTACATGTACTTGTACATATTATGCAGGTATATTTATAAATAAATTTTATATTTACAGTATTATGCAGAATCGCATGCTGTTATTTACATAGTTGATTCATCAGATCGAGAAAAGATATCTGAATCTAAAGAAACATTTGGTATGAAAGGAACAGTATATACACTAAATTATAACAATCTGAATTATAACTGAACAAATATTTCTATTTCACTACAGATAGAGTTATTTCATCAGAACATTTAATAGGTGTACCACTTTTAGTCTTAGCAAATAAGCAGGATGTGCCTGATTGTATGGGTGTTAGAGAAGTAAAACCAATTTTTAATCAAAATGCACACCTAATAGGTAGAAGAGATTGCATGGTAATGCCTGTTTCTGCTTTGAATGGGTATGTAACTTCTTTTTATTTGAAATTTGTTTTATTAGAACTAAATAAATTATATCAATTATTTATATCCATATGATTTTATAAGTTACATATAATTGCTTTAAGTTGTTCGTACAATGATATAAATGATAATTAATAAATAAATAAAATATGAATCATAAAGAAATTATTTGTATTCTAACATAGTCCTAAAAAGAAATTATTTCAAATGTAATCTTATATTAAGTAGAAAAATGTAATAATTCATAACATGATATCGTGCCAATTTTTTATTTAATTATAAATTGTTTATTTCCATTAACCGTTTATCAAAATTGCAAATACCATATAATTGCAATTTTAATTACATATAGGATTTTATGAAAAATATAAAACATCCTTATTGTAAATAATAAAATATTATACTATATAATTTTGAATGTCTTATATTGGTAAGATAAACATGTTATGAAACTTATAAATTATATAAAACAATTGCATCATGTAATTATTTATATAATACAAAAGGGATGGCATAGATGAAGGAATTCACTGGCTCGTGGATTGTGTCAAGAGAAACAATGATGTTCGACCCCCTCGTAATCAAAATGACAATTGTTTGTCTTAACAACACATTCCTGATTTGTTTTATAATATAAATCAATATATGAGCAGTATTTTAATGTAAAAATTCTGTATATTTACATTAGAAACTACATTTTTACCAATAAACTTTGTTTTCTAATCTGTACGAATTGAATTACTTATCTCTATCAATTTATATATATGATAACAAAATGTTAATATATCTTTTTTACATTCTAAAAATTGGCTTTTTATATTTTATTTGTTATTATTTGATTCATTATTTGTTTAACTTACTATAATATTGTTATTAATGTGTGATGTTTTTTTAAATATTCTTCTTTATTTAATATAATTAACAAATTCCTAAATTACTCTTCTAACTGATCTGTATTACTGATATCAAAGTAGCCGAGATAAGAGATAATGCCAACACCTTACCTCCTCTTCTGTTATGTTGGTGATAAAAAGTCTACAAAACTGGTAGTTCAGTTGTATGCTAGAAAATATATGATTTATAGTTTCAGTGTCAAATTTTTGTGCTAAACTTCTAGTGCATCATGTGGCCATATTATGAATCTGAAGATTGGAGTGTTTTACCACCAGAATTAAATAGAAGGTGATACTTTTATTATCTCTAGGATTTCATAGAAAAATTAATTTTTGATATATATAATCAATATGTGATATAATATATATATATATATATATATATATATATATATATATATATATATATATATATATATATATATAAATTATATAACAATTATGTAATTATATAATAATAATAATTAGAAATATGTATGTCTCTTTCGAATTATTCTAATTTCTAATTTTATTAGTGATTACTGGAATCTTATTTAGAAAATAAATTATGAGAATTTCAAATAATGGTGCGAAATGAAAGCTTTACACATAAACACTAAGAACTGCAACAGTTTTATATATAAATCATTAAAAATATGTTTCTCAATGTGCCTCTTTTGAACCTCTAATTTCATTGTAGATTATTGACTCTTATTTAAGAAAATGAATTGTCTTTTTATTCGAAAAATAAATTGTGAGAATTTTAAATAATAGTACAAAGTAAAGAATAACAGTTTCATATATATATAAATATATAATAATAATTATTATTATATATAATATATAATTATTTACTTGTTATATATATAAATTGATTTAATTATTATTATATATAATATAATAATTAAATAATTATATATATAATAATAATTACATAATTGCACAATTGTATTATAAATCGCATAAGTCGAGAGTAATTAATAACATGTAGTAATAATGATGCAAAATCATTAGTAATCACTCATGTAGTAGTTACATAATTATATAACTATATTACAAATAATGTAATAATAATAATTAATGACATGAACATCTACTCTAAGTACCGTCTAAGTACTCAATAAGTTTAAATGTACGAAAACCGAAGACAGATTGTCAAAATCAAAACTTCGTTTACCTTTGTTTACCTTCGTTTACCTTCGTTCGTTTGTAATCTTTCGAAAAATCGATAACCAAATTCTACCTGAAAATTCCTGTGTTCCGTGATTTTCGTGCGAGGAGAAAATCCAGGAGGGGCCGAGGTGCTGGCAAAGTTAATTTTCTACTTAGTTGATGGATGGCCGAATCGAGGGAACAACTGGCGGCCTTCGCGTTCGAAAATAGAGCTGACAGTTTGCGATACATTCATTTAATTATCCCTGCTATTCAGCTTGCCTTTCCTTCGGGGAGATGCTCGTTAACTTTTGAATTCTTTCTTCTTTCTCACTCTCCCTCTCTCTCTCTCTCTCTCTCTCTCTCTTTCTTTTTCTTTTTCTCTTCAACGCTCTCCTCTTTACGCCAGTCATTGAACATTCACGCGATTCAATCCTGTGCACCACCACCTTCTGCAAATAACCTGCTATCTCGTTGCTCGCGTTACGAATAACTTGTATCTACACGCTCCTTATACAGGGTGTCCCAGTTTTCATGGTTCACGACCGGAAACGAAGTGATTCTGACGAAGGAAAATAAGTCGATAACAAGGTGTTTCAGGTCTCAACCGTCAAATTTTGCCAACGTATTTGGAAGGTCATTTCGAGAAAAAAATGTTCTGTATGCCGTGGGTCGATTGATTTTCGTTTTCGAGATATAAAAGAGAAGAAAATAAGCTAAAAATATAATTGTGTTTCTTTTTTAACAGATTTTACAGATAGATAATAGAACGTATATGTATATGTATATCTTAAGGGGTCAGGATAGTTTGAAATTTTCAAAAAATCGATTTTTTTGTTTTGTTTTAAATGGTAGTTTGGGATCTTAGAAATAAGGTCCTAGCCTTTAAAACGACTTATTTTGAGGTATAATAATAAATCCGTGGATACGAAATAATTGAATTTGTATCACTGCTTACAACTTTAAGCAGTATTACAAAGTGCAAATCGTGTGATTCAAACATCACTTTTGGTGAATCGAATATTAGTGGACTTGGATTCAATTTAGTTGCGAATTGTAAGAACTGTGAGCCGCGATATATAAGTAAAAAATAGTAAGTAAAGGATACGTATGAAAAATGACGTTCTGAAACTTTAAACGCGTTTTCCTCGAAACTAGGTTTTTAAAAACGATGTGCAAGATATCTCGGAATCTAACCAACCGATTACTGTGAAACTTGGTACGTATCTTTAGTGTAACATTTATTAAGGATTGACGATCGAGCATTTTTTAATTTTTAACAATTTTGAATAATACAAACAAAAAACGTAGAAATTTTTGGCATAAATTCGATACATCAAAAACAAGTAGCTGCTATTTTCATAATTTTCACAAAAATGAAAATGTTGGATCGTCAATCCCTAGAGAATATTGTTTACTTTTGAACTTTTTTTGCCTTTTTGTTGCAGTCGATCCTGTTTGACTGGAATCAAGCACACCGATAGGCAATGTAAACAAAAGTTATGTAAAAGAATGCCGTTAGAAAGTTAAATAAGAGCCCTCTTTTTTTCTTTTTCAATGTTGATTTTTATAGTTCATAATATGTTAAAATAAACCACAAAAGCTCGTGTCAATCAAATATGTACTTTTGTTTTACTAGCCCTCCAAAGTATTTGTAATTTTTAGGCCCATCAGACTGTTCTGCCCCCTTAAAATGTAACTAACCTCATTCTAAATCGCAAATTCATTGTGTAATATGACATTTGATTGTTCGGGCTTGTTTTAGAAAATGAAAATGCACAATGTCGCGAACAATTGTTTGTTCAACCATTTCAAAATGGAAA